TCTACAAACAATTACGAATAATTTGATACCTTAGCAAGAAGCACACCTTGCGCGTAATTTTTATTTCAAAATATCTTAATTGAAGGCACATTTGGAAAATACGTCGAAACGATCTAAACCTTTTTGTGAAATACTAGTCCTCATAAATCTGTAAAATTCTTCAAAAAATTTTATNCGCACATTTGTGCCCGGAGAAAAAGTCCGAGCTGTTTCGTGCACAAAGAAGAAGACATTTACGATCCAAGAGTGGAACGTATTCGCTCTCTATTACCCATTTTTCTAGCGTGAGGCTGTTTTGGGCACCCGCGGGCTCGTGTGGAACAAACCTATTGTGAATCGCTTCATTGGACACCACACTTTCTAAAAAAAAACAGCTGATTTCGAAAAACTGCCGCTGCCACTGGCACTGCGTTATTGTATTTTGGGATAAATTTTAAGGTGCACGATATAAGCATCCCGCTTATAAGCATTTTCCGCTAACGCGCACCGAAAAATTGGTAATTTTCTTGCGTATAAGCACTGAAAATTAATTTTAATTGATTACTGGCATAAGCAAGGAGTATTAAACAAGGTGTGATTGACAACTCAAGGCGGCTCTCTTCTGACAACAAGAAATATTCTGAATATTAAAGGTAGTAAATCAGGGTCTCGTCGGCCGCTGTAGTGCAGTGGTAAGCAGTGCGCGCTTCCATTCCGCAACACCTGGGTTCAAACCCTGGTCCGACAGCGGTCGTCCCTCGGCAGGCAATGGCAAACCTTCGAGTGTATTTCTGCCATGAAAAACAGCATTTCATTTTAAAAACTTTTTAAGTATGTATTGTACTCTACAAACAATTACGAATAATTTGATACCTTAGCAAGAAGCACACCTTGCGCGTAATTTTTATTTCAAAATATCTTAATTGAAGGCACATTTGGAAAATACGTCGAAACGATCTAAACCTTTTTGTGAAATACTAGTCCTCATAAATCTGTAAAATTCTTCAAAAAATTTTATCTAAAAGTGTGTATAAACCCTGATTTAATAATAATAGATTGGCGCTTACATATATGTTAGTGTTTGGCCGAGCTTCTCCTCCGACTTGTGGTGTGCGTGCGCCTTAATGTTGTCACACAAAGCGGAGGGACCTACAGTTTTACGCCTACTCCGAACGGCGATTGTATTTTTATGAGAAGCTGTTTTTCATGGCGCACTCGGTGGTTTGTCATTGCCTGACGAGGGGCGAGCGCTATTAGAAAGAACATTTTTTATGTTTTAATTTTTGGTGTTGGTCGGAAACTGGACGCGAACCCAGGCCCGCGAAATAGTAGTGCGCGCTGCTAACCACTAACTCAGTATCTACATTAGTTTAAATTATGACAAAAAATGTAATGGGAGGTTAAAGCCTGACTAAGTCTTTTTGTGCTACTTAATTTTTTTTTTTTAATTCGATTTTTTTTAACAAAATTTTGGTTGCTCCATTCATAGTTTACATCACTTGTGTATGCAGGGGCGGACCCAGCAGCAATTCTTGGGGGGCCATTTTTCAATGTATATCGTGTACATAAATTTAAAAATCATCGCAGTTTAAAATTTTTAGAGTTTTGTTAGTTTTTAATTTCTTCAAGTTTACGCTTTTTAATAACTTGAGTGGAATTCCAAAATTTTCTAAACATTCAAAACTTTGTTAATTTGAGAAATTTTAGTAAACTCCAATACAAGGCGAATTTATATAAGGTGGTGTTGTTTCATCAGCTGTGAGTAGCGTTTGATTGTCAAAATTTTGAATTTCGTTAGTGAGTGAGTGAAAACGTGAGAGTGTTTGCGTTTTCTGTCGCCCTTTTTCATTCGGGGAAGAATAGCTGAAATTTGACAATGGCCCGCTAAAAGCAAAAACAAAATACAAGTAATTGTTGTATTTGTTCAATCGATACCACCTTATATGTATTCGCCTTGCTCCAATAATTCAATATAATGATGAATACTAGATTTTTAGAAATTTTTTATTTTTCAAAAATTTTGAGAGTTGTCGGAATTCTAACAAATTTTTTCCAAGTAAAAGTGTCGAATATACAAAATTGATCAAACGAAATTAAAAGTTTTCGAATGTTGAAAACATTTTCATATTTCGTCTTTTTTGAAAATTTAAAAAATTTTCGTAATTCTTGAAGATTAAAAAAATTTTTGGACGTTGATGTTTTCAAAATTTTCAAAAAATTTAAAATTCTCAAACTTTGTTATATCAACACAAAATTTTGAAAGGGCCAGAAAAGTGGAACAATTTTGAAATTTTTCAAAAATGTTAATATCTTTTAGAATTCTAAGAATTTTCTATTTTCAATTGTGATGTTTCACATTTTTACATTTTAGGATAAATAAAATTCTCAAAATTTTGGAAAATATAGAAAATTTCTAAAATCTCAATAATTTTGTACATTTCAAAATATTCTCATCTTACCAAAATTTCTAGAATCTCCCGGATTTCGATAGTTTTTGAAATTTTGGGAATTATCCTAAAAATAAGAAATCTCAAGAAGTTTAATAAGATTATAAAATTCAAAATTTTGGAATTTTCGTTGTTTTCTGAACTTGCGAAAATATTCAAACTTCAATTTCCCCTACCTGTGTCCGCCACTGGTGTATGTATGTATGTACAAATATACTGAAAAGATCAGTAAGGGCATGCACTTTGGCAAAGTACATTGCAACAAGGAAATTCATCTTTAACATGTTTGATCCAGTCTTTACGGAACATTTTTGGTTTGATCACGACATATGTATGTACAATGTACACATATGTATGTATGAGTATTTAAGCACATTATTTGGTGTCATTATTTCAAATGATATTGTGCGATCTGGAAGTGCGCATGCGGAACAAGTTCATGCATGCGACTAGAGCAAGCAAATATAAGCCGTGGTCAAACCGGACAACACTTGCATCGGTCAATGTGCAACAATAACAATCACGTTTGCTATACATATTAACTTTCATGCTAAGGGGGGGACAAGAAGGTGAGTGAGTCAACTAGCAGAACAAATGACCAGCGGATATAGCGAAGGTGTAACATTGCGAATACGAGTTTACCGAAGCGCTTTTACAGAGGTGGATAACGATATCAAGTACCTGACAAGCATGTGAATAGAGGCCATAACCAGTGCAGAAAATACACTCAGTTAACTGTGATAAAGCAAAACAAAAACAAGAATAAGTCTATGGATGTACTTTAGTAAGATGAGCCAACCAACAACTATGCACAACAATCGACAGCATCTGTAGCACTTCTGATAGCAACTTCTTCTCAACTAGACATTGAAGTGTCGTCTCGTGGCCATAAATACTACATATAATTCAATATTCTTACTCAAACTGCTTTGAAATTTAGTTGAAGAAAGAGTAAAGGCATGCAATATAAAGTTCACTCAACACGGGTCGGCTTGGCTTGGCTTGGTAACGCATACTTGACGCTACATGGATGGACGATGCGCTCTAGATAGCGAGCGCTAACTGGCTCGACAACTACTAATGCTGTTTGCATAGCTGTTCCTACTGGTATTCGCTAAAGCTCAGATGCATATACATACATACAAAAATGTACATTAATACATACGTGGTACGTACGTTTGTACATACACATACACATCGCTCACTTACTCAAAGGTTGTCACAGCTCGCAAAAAAAAGACGGACGCCTAGAGCTAATGATAGAGAATTACTTGTTTACTCTATAAAACTTGCATTCGAAAATCTTCCGCAGTTTCCGCATGAATAGAGAAAATGCATCTCCATTTATTGTTTGGTGAAAAAAAAAAATCGTCGATCTGTTCGGTACTCGAATTTTTGGCGAGCACACTTTTCACGGTTAGTGGTACGAAGGTGCATAACCGGAGGGTGCTGCAGGCACCGTCATTCTATGACCACAAACACATAAGCTTCGACATTTTGACCTCACGCAAAAGAAATAGTAGAGTCCTCAGAAATCCTAGAATCCACAAAGGTCGAACTTGACGAAGGAGTTAGAACTCTAATATCCATACCAATGCTGGACAATGCATCCTGCCCTCTTTCGCGCACTAAGCGTAGATCTAAACCTCCTTGTCGGCCCATAAATAAGTCTGACCTTATTCCTCCTAAAAACGCTGGAAAAAATTCTGTACACTAAGGGCAAGTCCACGGAGACTGCACTACACTTGTTAGTACAACACATCGAGAAAGCTTCAGAATACAATGAATATGCTCTAGGGGTATTTCTGGACATTTACGAAGCAGGGATGTTGCGAATGTAGAATTTTAGACATCCGCGGATGCGAATGCGTATAACGGTTGTTTGTAACAGGCAAAACGAATCGAGATAGATATAGACAAATATGTACATAAATGATCAGAATGAAAAGAGACATCGATTAAGCGGTGACCGTCTGTCCATCCGTCCGTCCGTGCGTCTGTGCACACCATAACTCGAGTACAAATTGAGATATCTTAACGAAACTTGGTATGTGTACATCTTTTAGGCGTTGGACGGACGGTATTGAAAATGGGCAAAATCGGACGATAACCACGCCAACCTCCCATATAACGGTAGTTTTGAGAAATGCGAAAACTGCGATATTTTAGTAACTACAGCCTGCCAAACACACACCTACAGTCTGTCAGAAAAAAAACGGTAAGAAGAGGGGTTACGTTGCTTATGGAACTGTACGATGATTTTTTTTGTCAAGGGTGTCTGGCATTTTCTTCCATATAACGCATGAATAAATTCTATTTTGATATGGAAGAAAATGCCAAACACCTTTGATAAAAAAATCTTCTTAAATTTCCCTGAGTCATATATGAAATTAAAAAAAATTTAATCTGCTGGTTTTTGCTGTTGAATTTCATATATTTTTATAAAAATAAGAAAAATTTGGCATGGAAAATATATGTAAATAAAGAAACGTCAGGGTATTTTTACTTTTGACACTGACTGTACAATGTACAGTGTATATAGAATATGTTATATTATTTGAAAATTCAACTTACCTTCACGTAATCAGCGCAAATATCAATTTCACCTACAAAAGCACAAACATCTTCAACGGTCCACTGGGCTACCTCTTCACTATGAGCCCGACATTGGGGCGTCGTAACAGATGGCTTTTGGGTCGCGAGTGCTGGTGAGACACTCAAGCCAACATCGCTTAATTGTTCAGGTGTATGCGACCCTAGTCGTCTTTGTATCGCATTGCTTGAGCGAAATAACAAATTCTTTTCTGCAATAGTTAAGGGGGGAGGACTTCCAATGGATATCTTTAAGTCATCCGATTCAATACTGCTGCCAACAGTATTTAATTCCACTTTAAATCGTTTGGCCGCTGGTGGTTGAGAACTCAGGTCAAGCGGAACTGTCACCGCATTCGTTGCCCCGGTTGTTTTGTTTTTAGATGCAGGATCACTAGTTGAGTTGGTGGTTGAAATATTATTAAGTTTTTGCAAGGGACTAGGCAGGCGTGCAGATTGCGTCCCACGCTGCTGTTGCAGTTGAGCCGAATACATGAGCGCGGGCGATACAAATTGTGCGGCCTGTTGTAACGCAACAGCAAGATTGGGATGCGGCAAAATGGAGGTGGAATTTATTGACTTGACGTTTTGCTGGGGGCATCGAAGTATGGCCTGAATCTCTGCTTCCTTGGCTGCTCGTGCCTGCAACAAATTTCAAAAAGGTTACGAATTTTATCATCCGCTGATGTTTGTCTTTTCTCTGTTTCGATAATTCTCTCTGATTAAATATACCAATAACCGGTTTAGTCGACTCTAGACACAATTTAGTTACCAACGCTAGGTCTGCTAAACGCCCCAACTTCCTTTCCTAATAGCCAATAATTTTTTAAAAATAGCTTAAGTTGGCGGTGCAGCTTGATATCTTGAGCCAAGTTTTTTATAAGAACTAAATTTAGTGACAATAAGCGATTATTGCTAACTGAGTATAATTAAAAATGTCAAATGGTTTCTTCTTATAAACGCCTTACTTAATGTTTTGCAATAATCAGTTACTTTGGTATTTATTTAACTGTATACCATAGCCTTCTGCGAGCAAGAATCTTTTAATCTACATCAGAATTTTCTCAAAGCAATTTCGTAATTTTTTTTTTAAAAAGAAAGAACTACAAATACATAATCGGGGTATATTCGGCTTATGACCACAGAATTTTTAATTAGGTAACAGCTCCAGTTGATTAACACTCACCAATGTAACTAATGCTTGTGTGCTGCTCATGTCGATCAATGGCGGCGGACACACACTTTGTGAGAACGGAAGATTGCTCAAGAAGGAAGCTGCAGCCGCTGCGACCGCTACTTCTCCCGGCGACATTGATAATCTTGGTAGCAGTTGTGGCTGTGTGTCTTCTTTTGGCATCGCATTTGGCAACGCTACAACAACAGCCGATTTACTATTTCCTGTTTGTTGGTTAATAGTTTTGTTGATAACCGGAGCGGGAGGAGTTGACGCAGAAGCCTCAAAATATGTATTACGCCGAGTCGAAGAAGAGCTGAAAAGTTAAAGAAACGAAAGAGGCATTGACAAATCTTCTTGTTTCTGTACAAAGCTGTAAGTTGTTACTTAGTCGGGCTGGAATCATTATATTTAGCGGCTAAACTGCGCATAATATCGGAATAGTTGCGCGTTGAAAACTCTGGGGGATGCGCGGTTGTGTTTACATTTATTGTATCCATGTTGGGACCAATAACATTTGAATTATGACGCTCCACAGATGTAGCCTGTATCCGTAAGAGGGAAGACAGTGGAATTAGGCTTTCCGCCGACGAGATTTGCTGTGGCGAGGGTCCTCGAAATGACGAAGGTGTAGTGCTGCGTGATCTAAATAGAGATAGAGACAATTACTTATGTGTGTAGATAATTTTCCTTTTAGACCTTTTATTTAGTTTTAAATAAAATACTTAAAAGAGAACTGGATGTCGAAATCGTACTAAAGACAAATTATTTCATTCAAATGTTGGCCGCGACTACGATGTAGGTGGTCCGTTCGGAAGGTCCAATTTTCAATTACGCTTTCCAGAATTACGCGAACTACGCTAGTGTAATGTTGGCTTGCAAGTTTTGCATTATACCCGGCTTATCGACGGAGACTTTTGTCTTCACATAACTCCAAATCGATAATTTGCTGAAATCAAATGTTGCCGACATCGCGGCCTTCAATTTGAGGCAACAAAAAGGTCGTTGCAAATGTGCGACAACGCTCGTCATTGACTTTTATGTTCTGTTTGCGGCCAACATTTGAATGAAATTATTTTTTAAAAGTGAATGTCCGAGAATTTTCTTTCGGATAATAACAAAGATTACGACATCCAGTTTTCTTTCAAGTTTTTTTTATATAAAATTAAAAAAAAAGCCTAGATGGATCACTCGATATATGCGCACTATATGCATATTTCGTTGTAACAGTCAGCTTTCCTTACATTGCACTCGTATTTAAAAGTACAATAAGAAGGACAGGTGATATTTTCAAAATATTAATTTAATTTTTTGAAATTCGCGATGTCATCGATCAGGTACGAACGACACCCTCATATTTATTAGTACCAGGTTGTTCGAGCTTTGCCCGGAGTGCATATACTTTTTAAAGTTTTCAAGATTTGGATAACTTAAAAAAAATATTCAGAAAAAAATAATAAAATTTGGATTTCGATATTTATTAAATAAATTTCTTACTCCAAAATTTAGATGGCAACCGTATTCCGAAGTATGCTGGAATGAATGGTACATATCTTGAGCGTATATGTATTGTGTATACTTAAAAAAATGCTGATTGAAATTAACAAAATAAAAATTTGCATTATATAGAAGAGTGGCAACCCTGATGGAAAATATTTTCTGATCAAAGTTTTCAACAATACCTTTCATTTGATATCCATATTGCGATGTTAAATTGTGTAGAATAGCAAATAAGTGGCAACCTTACATTATTATCCTAAGGGATAACATTTTGTATATAGGGAAAAGCATTGTTTAAGAACCTTCTCTTGGTACCCATGAATAGTAATATTTTACCTTATTTTCTAAACAAAATATTAAATAAATATGCGATTCGAAATAGGTGGCAACCCTATTAAAAATATTTTTGAATTAGGAATATTTAAAATACCTTCCACTTGATACCCATATTATTACTACTTTTTAACCGACTTCCAAAAAAGGAGGAGGTTATCAGTTCGTCGGAATATTTTTTTTTTAGTTTTTTTTTTTATGTATGTTACCGCATAACTTTGGACCACGTCAACCGATTTCGATAATTGGCATCTAGATGTCCGACAATATATTATTTTTTAAGTAGGGCTGCCACCATTTTAAAGATGATAATATCTTCACAGTTAGTTGGACTAAAAATGAGTGAAATGATACGGTTTCCGTATGTGCAATAAGCTTTTAAATTTCTTTTTGTGGGGTTGCCATCTTTTTAAAAATCATTACCTTACATATGTGTACATACATATGCATTTTTTGGTTAATGACATCTGTGTTTTCACAGTTTATTCAATAATTTTTTTTTTGGTATCAAGAGCTTGGCCTATAGATGTACAATTATTTTTTTTTTTCGTAAGGGTTGCCACCTGTTTGTAAAGTCGAAACGAAAAAGTGCTAAGAAATCTTTAGTTTGAATATTTAAACTATTTTTGAGGTGTTTGAAGGAGGTTGCCACTAAATTAGTTAAAAGAATTATAAAACCTAGTAAACCCGCATGGCGTCAAAACGCCAACATTTAATTAAATTTTTTAAACAGGTGAATCCCTATTCAAAAACCTCTAAAAATATTCCTAATGATTAATCTAAACCATTTCTCACGGATGAAAGGTCTGGCATAGTGTCGGTTTTCATTTCATCAAATTTAAAATCTCCTCGTAACTTCAAAAAATAAAACCTATGCACATCTATGTAGAATTCCCGTTCTTTAATTTGACTTCTCATTTTGGAAATTCGAAATAACGTTGCAGATGTGATGACCTTTAAAAAAAAAAAATAGATGGCAACTCTAATAAAAAATATTATCAGCCTATAGTTTTCTTAAAACTCTTTCGTTTGACACTAATATTTCGATATTTCATTTATGTACCTTTCGTATAAGTAAAACGAATTCGACTTTTCAAACAGGTGACAACCCCTTTAAAAGTATTTTCAAACTAAAATCTTTCGCCTGGCGTTGTTATACATATTTCAATTAACTGATGAATTAAGTTGAATTTAATTATTTTAATCACATGGCAACTCTCCTAAATACAGTTTAGAAATAACTATTTTCAAACCCATTTCGATTGATACCCATCTTCTGACAATCCATGTAATTTATTAAATAATTTTAGCTTAATTTTTTCAACAAAAAAAAAAAAACCAAATGCCCAGCTTAAAGATTTCTTAACGCTCGTTCTTTTGATAACATATTTTAAAATTTCATATAACTTATGTATAATTAAACGAAATACCACTTTCAACTCTCTTAAAAATTATTTTCGAACAAAAATTTCCTTAAATATTTTTCGTGTGACATTGTTATAAATATTTCATGTAACTGATGAATTTAGTTTTTATACACGTGGCAATCCTCCTAAATATAGTTCTTAAATAAAGGATTTTAGACTCGTTTCCATTGATAACCATCGGTTAGTAATTCATTTAACTTATTAAATAATTTTAGTTTAGCCCTTTAAACTGGGGCAACCCGCAAACACATCAAAAATGTTATAAATTGTCAAACTAAGTGTTTCTTGAAGCTCTTCCATTTGACATCCATCGTTAATATTTCATAAAAAAAATAGTTCAATTAGATTTCTTAAATAGGTGGCAACTCTATTCAAAATATTTTCAAACTACTACCTTCTTAAACCTCTTTTGTATGACACCCATATAGCGATACCTTATTCACTTACTAAATTCCTTTAATTAAAATTGAATTACATTTTTTCAACATGTGGCAACCCTCCTATACGTAGTTAAGTTATAAAGCCGTTCTTGAACACCTACACCCTAAGCCCTTTAATTTGGTACCTCACTTTTGCAAAAACGAACGGACGGTGCGGATCTGAGGGCATTGATTAGTAAATAACTTGAGTTTAATTATTTAACAGGTGGCAACTCTGTTCGAAAAAATAAAACCTTATTGCACATCTACAGGCCAAGCGCCTTAATTTGACGAAAGTTTTAAAAAGTTTTGAAAAAGGTTATCGTTCAAAAGCAACGTTATAATATATGGGGAAAGGGGAAGGGGGGCGTACGGATTATCTGATAGGCCCAAAACTTTTGCTGGTAGCATGAAGAACATATGTATGTACCAAATTTGAAAATGATAACTTTCTTTATAGAATTTATGCCAAAAAAAAATAAATTCCGGCCAGTGTGCATTGTAGTGAAAACAATTACACGTTGAAATTGATCAGCCATGTTCTAAAATTCATTTATGAGTGCTTTTCAATCCAATTCACTTTAAGTAAATCCGAGATTCGTATTTCCTTTCCAGTTTTTCCTAACATGAGTTCTGAGCAGGGATGAAAAAGTAGGTACAATTGTATCTTTTTCCGACGTTTGATGACTTAAAGGTACATTAGGTACAGTCAGTAGATTTTAGGTACAATTATTATTATTGACCCATATTCGCTTTTTGATTTCTGGAAATATATTTAAAATGCTTTCGAAGTTACTTACAGAAATTTGATTATTTTCTCTAGACTTGTTGCACCTATTAAAAGGAATCGGATAAATTAGCAGACTTTTCGTGTTGTTGCTGGATAAAGAAGTATACTTCGCAAAGCGAGTTTTTTGTCTTTTTCAGCAATATTTTTCAGTAGTCAAAGTTAGACAAAAACAACGCTTCTCCGGTTCCCATTAGACTATAGTCTATAGATATAGGCTCAGTTGAAAAAAAAAACATAATCGTGTTTGAAGTACATCCATCTTTTGTATACATGTTTTAAATAAAATTTATAAAAAAAACTACAAATGAATTATGTAACTTTTTTTATGTAAAATCTGTCTCATTTAGGTACATATATTTTATGATATTAGGTACAATCTGAAATTTCCATTTTTCGTCCCTGGTTCTGAGTGAGTTTGAAAAGTTGAGTTGAAGTTCACAAGAAAATGTTCGGGAATCATTCACTACAGCTCTATTTTTGCAATATCCCGACAGGAAATACATATATAAACAACGGAAACGAAGCGAGACGTAAACATTATTTAATTCATAAGTAATTTTTAGCAAAAAAAAAACCGACTTCAACTCTCATATAAAAAAAATATATATATATATATCTCATGATCCACTGATCGGATCTTAACCAGATTAGTATGGGACCACCTCTGAGACACTACCTTTCCGATGCAGAAAGAATTATCGAAATTGGTTGACGTGAACCAAAGTTATGCGGTAACATACATAAAAAAACAAAAAAAAAAATAAATATTATTATAATACACCCAGCTAGATAATTAGGGCATATACAACTTGAATTGCGGGACTCTAGCCCTGTCTAGCCCTGAAAAAAGCGGATAGTTGTTAAGCAGCTTAACAAGTCAAGTTTTGAAAACGAATATTTTAGTCTTGCCACAAATCCACAAATAAATAGCCATTTTTAAATAGATGCTTAGTTGATATTTTATTTTTATTTTTACGTACCTCACCACTGACGACTGAAGATCACCATTAGTACAAGGACCAGGACTAACTTCTTCTCTTTTCACGTTTCCGATGTTGGTTGAGGAGATGTTTTTTTGGGGTTGCTTTTGTGTGTTTGCTGGTTGGTGTTGTTGGGAATTGGGATGAAGAGTCTGCTGTTGATAAGGATGATTATTTGTCATGTTAGGGTTTGTTATTAGACTGCCAGAGGAGCCACTGAGACTATTCATCAAAGTATTCGCAATATTATTGCTGGTGTTGCCGTGACTATTGATATTTGTCTTCCTGTTGGAGTTATTATTATTTTTACTCGACTCCATTATGACATTGTTGTCCAAAGAGTCAAGTTGTGTTTCGTCGGTCGACACTGTTGTTACATCCGCTTCTGTAGCTGGCGCTGGTTGTTTTTTCTTCTTGGCCTTCTCTAAACAGATGTAAGCGGCTGCTGTGGCGGCTAATACAGGTGAAGGCGTGGTGGTGGCCAGATCAAAGCCAATACTGCTCGACTGCTTATCGACTGAATTGAATCCGCCACCGAAAGCAAACAGTAGCGAACGCTCACTGAGCATTTTATCGGCAGAGAAGTTAGCTGCAGTGGCAGCAGAATAGTCGTCTACAATGGCTTGTGGCACCCGTCGACAAGATGAATTTCTTTATGGATTGTTCGTTCTACTTTTAAAATCTCTGTATGCTGTTTGTTGTTGCTGCTGCGTGGGTTATAAGTAGTAGCGGTAGTTAAAACATCGTTCAAGCCGCGATCTGTTGTTACCGCTACTCCTCTCAGTGTTGCAGTGTTGACAGTGTCATCAAATTGACGCAATACCTTTGTCGTGCTGGTATTTTTTTTGTTTTTGCTTAAATGGTGATTTATGTGCGTCACGATATCACCAACCAACGCCAAGTGTTTTGTGATTGCAGCTTTCGCTTGTGAAATATAACTAAGTACATACATACATTTGTGGAGGCTGATTAATAGTTGGAAAAGTAACTATTTTTGGTGCTCTTGCGCTCTGTATTTCTGATACCTGTAATCAATAAAAAATAAGATGACTTGTTTAAGGTTTTTCATAATCTTTTACTATAAACAGGACTTAGTGTTTAGTGACATTAAAGCTTGCCGTATCGACGGTACTATGGCAAAAATTCGTAACTCAAAACACTCTGAAACAAAACTGCAGCAAAAAACTCTACATTAATAATTACAAAAAATCATATTTAACAACTATTTGCTCTCTGTATTTAAGATTAAGTTAGTTTAGTTAGTTAAGTAAAGTTGCTACGTAGGAATCTAACAAAAAATATATTTTCTGGTTGAAAGAACCAGAACCGGAAGAAGAAGGTTTTGTCTATATTTCTTTTCGATAATTAAATTTTTTTATAATCTACCTCATATTACATATTTTTCTCTGACGTCATGATTTTTTTAAAAGACTTTTTAATTTCAAAGATATGATTAATTCCAAAACTTATTTAAAAAATTCAGTGCAATGTAGAACAAAAATATGGGTACCAAATGAAAGAGAAAATTCTGTAGAATTTTTTGGGTTCACAAGGACAGGTAGGAATTGAAAATGCCACTTTAATCAATTTAATTTTTTTTAAGCTAATAAAGTTAGTTGTTAACATATAATTTTTTTTTTTTAATAAAAATTGCGAAAATTCAAGAATATTCAAGGATAAAACTATAAAAGGGCATTTTCATTATACACCAAAAAATTTCATCTGCTCTTTCTCTACAGAACTTTCCCTTTAATTTGATATCCATACTGGTTTTCTAAGTACATTGCACTGAATTTTTTAAATAATTTTTTGAATTACTCATATATTTCAAATTTCAAAGTTCTTCTAAAAAGACATGACTGAACACTTCGTCAGTCCGTCTGTGCACCCGATAACTGGAGTAAATATGTGACGACTGGAGCTAAGGACGGGGTTGTTTTGAAACGGTAGTTTACAGAAATACATAAACTGAGATATTTTAGTAAATANTTAAAAAGACATGATTGAACACTTCGTCAGTCCGTCTGTGCACACACGATAACTGGAGTAAATATGTGACGACTGGAGCTAAGGACGGGTTGTATTGAAACGGTAGTTTACAGAAATACATAAACTGAGATATTTTAGTAAATACAGAAGCTTATTCACTCATAAACTGTCCAAAGATCTCTTGGAGAAATAGGCGTTAAGCCCCGCCCTGTTATGATTACGTATTAAGGTTGTCAGATTAGATTTTTCACCCTGAGATTCAAAAAAAAAAAAGTAAGCATTCACATGTGAACACATTGAAAAATATAGAAATAACATCCAGAACTTTACGAAAATTTCTTACGTATGCTGTTTGATTTTCCCATTCTGTACTTATATTTTTAATTTTTTGTTTGCCAAATGGCAATTTCTCCTTAAAGCGCAAAAAATTCCACTAACACCGAAACTGACTAGGGACTGGATTTTTATGTATTCAAAAATCGAAATTACGCGCATATAACATGCACTAAGAAATCAAAAATATGCACTAAAAACCCAAAAATATGCAAAACGACATTTGCGCATTTGTTTTGCTTTCTTAATTTTTATACCTTTCATTAGCATGAAATGGTATTATAACTTTGGTCCGATGTTTGTAAGTACCAGAATAACCAAAGATAGACCCATTAAAATGTATACTTAAATGATCAGAACGTCGAGCTGAGTCGACTTAGCCATGTCCGTCTGTCTGTCTGTCTGTCTGTCCGTCTGTTTGTATGTAATCTTGTCTCTCAGTTTTCGAGATATCCGGATGAAATTTGGTAGGTGGGTGTATTTTTATATTGTATTAATCATTTGTCGGAACCGGAAGAATCGGACCACTATAACATATAGCTCCCATTCAACTGATTGTTCAGTTATGAGATTTTTCGTTATAACTTCTCCATTTATGCAGCTAAGAACATGAAATTTTGCAATACTTCCAACTATTATCAACAGAATTCTTGCAGTGAAAATAACAAAGATCGGGTCACTTTTACATATAGCTCCCATACAACTGATTGTTCAGATATGAGATTCTTTGTTATAACTTCTCCATATATGCACCTAGTAACATGATATTTCGCACTATTTTCACTCATTATCAACAGATAGTTTAGAGTGAAATTAACAAAGATCGAGCCACTATAACTTATATATTGCCTCCATACAACCGATTGTTCAGATATGGGGTTTTACTGTAAAACTCCTTTCTTTGGACTGCTAAAACAGATAATTTTTTTTTAAGCTATTCTATAAATAATAATACAAAGTCTACTGATTGTTCAGATACCAGTTATATAAGTTTATAATTAACACAAGGATATATTGTAACTTTTACTGTCATGAAAAACTCAAAATTAATTAAATATAATATAAATTAAAAAAAATTAAGCACTTCAGGAAAAAAGTAAAAAATTGATTTACAATAAATTAAAACTACATATTTGATTTCCATATTTTGTTTTAATTTGCTTTGTTCAGGGCTGTATTGGCAAACAAATTAATAGCACCGGATCACAAATTTTAGTTTGGTTTTTGTTCTCCAAACGCCACTATCCAATTTCTATGTAGAATTGCTCGGTGATTCCGAAAATCGAGTTAATATTTCGAGTTATTTGCAATTTACTGTTATTCAGCTAAAAACCAAAAGTGGTTCCACTTAATCACGTATATCTTATGAACCAATTTAACAATTTTAAAATGAGATATGGCAAATGAAAGCTAATAAAATTCTCCATAAGCATATATAAATTCTTTCCGATAGGACTGATAGTTTCTGACAAATTAATTAATCATTATAGTTTTTTTTATAATTTTTTATGAAAAAATGAAAATAAATTAAACTTCAACAGAAGAAAAATTTAAAAAATAACAGGTTCTGTGCCAAATTTTTGCGTTTGTGCTAAAGACTGTACTGTTACAAAAAAATTGAGTTACTAATGAAGAGAATCGATGGATAAATAAAGAAATAATGAGTGGTCAAATGGAAATACGCAAATATTTTTTATATGAAAATTGAGCATGTGAGAATGTAACACATACGCCACGTACACCTGAGTAATTATTAGAGTCCAACCGATTAATCGGCATCGGCGATTCTTTGGAATTTCTTTTCGTATGTTCAAGTGAAGCGACTCAACTTAAAGAAAAACATTTGCAGACAGCTCACAAAAATTAGATTTTTTGATTGAAGGTGTTTCACGTTTTTTCAATACAAATATGTTCGACAATTTTCTTTTTTATGGAGGACACTGCCATCAAAAAAATTGACAAAAATTAACGGGATTTTATAGCAGCTTGAAAGTTGCATTTCATTATACTAGAATTAAATGGTCTACAAAACTGCATACCAAAATTCTGATAAAAAATTTTGAAATTTTTGGTGAAAATAAGCAGATTTTTGTAATTTTTGTACAAAGGTTGAAATCTGAATTTATTTGGTGTTTGTTGTAGAGGTATACGCCGCCGAGCCACGCCGATATTTTCGTAACTCGGCGGCGGCGGCGGCGGCATCGGCGTTCGGCGCCTAAGGAATTTTGTACAAAATTTTCATGATGTATGTACATTGAATACATCGTTTGAAGGAACTAAATACTACTTGTATAAAACACAATTTTACGAAAATGAAAATTACATTTTTAAATTAGTTTTTTTTGCATAATTTGGACCACTGGACAAGAATATGATCTGCTTTATTTTTCAAAAAATAGCGTAACTCAGAAAAAACATAGGTAACATATTTTTCGACGAAAGCGTTTGTTACAGTTAAATTAGGGTCGAATACTGGTAATCTACCGATTTTTTCCGCAGTAGACAATTCTTTTCAATACTACAACAATACTACTTTTTTATACACCTACTACAACAACAACAAAGTTATAACACATCAAAAACTTAAACGCCAATATCTCAGAAAGCAGTTATAATAGAAGCGGCCTCTTTGCATCTAACTCCTCAATTATTGGAGATAAAACAAAGACAAGCTGATTTTTCTATGTAAGTTTTTAATATTTTGAACAAACACATTTTTTGCTAATATTTACATTCGTAAGTTATTTTATTCTGGGGCCCCACATCTGATTTTAGGAAGTAATACTTTTTGTTATAATTTTTTATGGAATCGGCATCGGTACCTGAAAAAAATTGGAATCGGTCGGACTCTAGTAATTATTTATTTAGGGGATTCACAAGACGTGTTAACCGTCGTAAAATCTTAAGCTTAACACTTGTTTATGGAAAATAGCGGTTAAAATGGTTGGGGGGTTGGCTATTTATATATTCTTTATCAGTTTAAAAGAATTTCGGTTTAGTTAGAAATCCCCTAAAACCATTTTAATGAAAAAAGATGTTAACCTTAAGATTTTACGACGGTTAACACGTCTTGTGAATCCCCTAATTATGTATCTCATTTTAAGACTATTAAATTGGTGGTTCGTAAGATAAACGTGATTAAGTGGAACCACTTTTTGTTTTTAAGCTGAATAACGGTAAGTTGCAAATATTTCGAAAATGTATCCATAGAAAAAAATTAACTTGATTTTCAGAATCACCGAGCAATTCTACATAGAAATTGGATAATAGCATCCAGTGTAGTTCTTGAAAATTTTCAAAGTTAAAGCGTTCGCTATTTGGCCATAAAAATGTTTGTTTTTTTGTAAGGAGAACGTTCTTTCTATGTTAACACTGGTGATTGAGGCGTACTTGAAGCAAGCTAGTTTATTGGGATTATAGCTGTTAAGCAGGGATCACACGATTCGTACATTTGTACGGATTTGAACATTTTGGCAGTCACATAAATAGTAGTGTTGTTTAGAAATTTGAGTTCAGCTCAATAAAAGAATTTCCAGACAGCACAACTCTGCACCTAATAGCCCGACCACAGCTGGCAAATTGTTTTTCCACATATTCTTATGTAGATAATTATTTTGGCGACAACAGGGCTACGCGACGACTGTGGTTGTGGCTAGATTAGATCCATTTCTATTTCTATTTTTCCAGCGACAGATAAGGTTCT